TCCCTGTTTGGAGACCTGCCCAAAAATACCGAGGCTAGCTCTTCAGACAGGACAGAAAGGACATGATGGGGAGCCCCAAGAGGAGGACACATGGAGGAATGAAATTAGTGGCACAGGAGAGGATGGAGCTCAAAATAAAAGACCCTTTCCTTCCCTTAATTCTGCTGCCATGTCACACCAGCTTTCCGAGAGCCTCTAGGGTTCTGTTTCCACTGCAGCTAACCATAATAACCATAAATGTAAGCATTGCTCTGCTGCTGTTCAGCAGTTTTCAGGATAATTAATTACGGCTCAGACATCTGGAGTGAAACCCTAACCCCACTGCAGCATTTTCTGACTGACTGTAAGAAAGCAAAAATTCCTGAAGTTGAGAGTGGGGTCTTTCACTGGTCTCTGCTCCTGACAAGCTGGAAATCTGCCTCCATTTTTAAAATATATGGCAAGGCTCTACTTCTCAATACGACAATTTTCTGAAATGTTTTTACACTAATAAATACATTAATAAAAGCTTTTGGAAATGCGGCTGAATTAATCTATTGGCTCTTTTTTAGACCTGTTTCACTTAACTAAGGAATAATCTCTTAAAAAGTTAAACATCTTTTCATAAGACAATAGACAGTGTTAAAATTACAGAGAGAGCCAGGAGCAGCTTTAAGGCTCCTGGCATAGCACCTAGTTACACTAACTGCTGCACTCAGTAGCTGAGCTGGTTCCAGTCACAGGCTGCTACTGGAAAGCAATAGCACTCACCACTGTATACATGCTCTAAAATAAAGCAGCTCCCGACTGACTACATGCATAGTATCACCAGAGTAATGCTGCATACAGAAGGTACCTGTTTCCCTATGCACTTTCTGAAGTTTCACAATTAGTTTTACCAGCTTAGCCGTTCATGTGTCACTTACAAGAACTTGTAACTGCAAGGGGCTCTTCGGATACTCAACGCACCTACTAGCACCCCTAAAAAAACCAGACCCGATGTTGCTGACGGAGCGGCTCAGCCGCCACCTCCTCCGGTTCCCACCGCGCGTTCGGAGGGGCCGAGCGCGGCGGGCGATGCCCTTT